CTTAATAAACATTTTCAATGTGTAATTGTAGAGTTTTTTTGAATTTTTATTAATATTCAAACCATTTTTTGTCTGTATGATTGATTTATACTTCCATGTGTGCTATATTTTATAATGAAATATTACATGAAATTGCACAGTTACATCCTTTTGTTTTATACTTTTACCATTAAACGTTTTCAGTACTTTATAGTTTACATGCATTATATATTGCTTAAATAAACATAATAAGGAATTGTAATCTGTGCAAAAGCATATGATTAAGCATATTCAGTATGCTCTTGACACTGTGCAGAGGACGAAAACGGACTAAAGAAAGACAGCCATGTTTATTTATAACTAGTAATTTGATTGGCCGTGTAATGTACACTACAATACATGTATAATCGATATGAATACATTGTGATTCTCGTTAACTTAGTTCTCTAATTTCCGATATGTTGAAGGAAGTCAGTGAAATGCGAAACAATTATAAATTTAATCATTAAATTTGAATACACAAAATACATAAATACGTGTATATCAATGAAGTACGTTTGATGAAAGAACTTAAAATATTGAAATATTTAATGCACTAGATATTACTTTTTTTTTTATATAAAATATCTTATTAATGACAATATTTTGTTTTCAATAAATACGGTAGCGATAGTACGTGTAATTTCATATGTGTAACTAATGTATAATCTATATCATATTCATCTATATACTATTGTCTCCTATGTCATCTTGTGTGCTTATGTGTATGTACAAATAATACGAGATCTTATAAACAGAAATAGTATCTCGATCAAAGTGTATTATGAAATGTATTCAATAATTTTTAATTGTATTTATGATAAATCATAAATTTAAAAAAATTACCTAAAACACTTTACTCAAAATTTATAATCGAGCACTTATAACATACATGTATGACATGAAATGTATATTCACGTACCACAAAGTACATAATTCACATGATTTTATAAATAACAACGTAGAGGATAATTAAAATAAGACAGTTAGCATATGTTAAAACAAACGATTGCTCGAATTATTTTAAAGAATCTATTTAGAAAAGTTGTCATTTTCGTTAAATGTTAGCATTACTAAGTTGCAAGATGCACTAAACTTACACGAATTGTTTTGTGTATAAGGTATGATGATCGGTGAAAAAGGTAGTTTCGAAATTAGTGATTCCCACCTGCTTATCACGAAACTTTGTAACGAAAAGTTGTATCGACAAGGACATTACGTTGCATCTTATAACGCGTATATCGTAGGCTTATAACTCAGTTGTGCAGAAGTCGGTGAAAGGTGCACGTTGGATGCAACCAAGCAGATAGGTAGGTACATGCTCGGTGTTTAGTGCTGTAAGGAAGACAAACTCGACGAGGTCGACGCAGCGCAGCTAAAGTGCAATCAATGAGCGCATATTGATCTCAACCCTTCACAGATTCTACACCTGCAGGGGCGGATCACTTGAGCATCGAATATAGATATTATGACTTGAGAATATTATATTCGAATAGGTACATCATAAGCCACTTTTTTCTCTTTTAAAATTGTTCAATAGTTATGTTTGAGCAAACAAAATTTTACCAATGCCAATTAAAGTTAATGTTTCTATTGTGTTTTTATAATTGTCCGTGAAATCAATGGAAAATTGTGCAAAATAATTTTGATCAATAATATTTAACGTGTATCTAATAACGTAAGCTAAAATTTACAAAAAATAAAAAAACTATATGCTGTATGTAATAATAATAACATTGATGACAATAATAGTATTCAGAAATATGAATAACATAGTGTAACAAGTACCAAGAAAAAATGTTATATCTTACATTCTATAACTTATATTTTTCTAATACAAAACTTACATTTAAAGTAGTATGAAATTAACTCCACAAATAATATACAATATTGTAATTATAATTGGTATTATAAATTAGTTATTTTTTTATGGTAATAAGTAAACTGTTAAATAATTAAAAATATGAAACGTTTAAATTGTTTTGCATCATCGATATTTGAATTTCGATATCAACTTCGATATCTCGCATAAGCAATTGTTTAACATTAACGAATACTAAAGTGAAGAATATCACTCCATTTCTCAGTCAAATTGTCAGTTGCTCGTAGAATTACGCCGGATTTCCTTACGCGGTGTTACGTAAAATAAAGGAGGCATAAGAAGACTCCGAGTCTAACACGAGCGCCGGAAGCTTCAAAATGATTGCGGTAACGGGTGTAAACTATCAACTCCTTCCATCATTAAGAAAAGAAACAAAATAATTTCCGAAATATTCTTCGCGATAATAACATTTAAATAGATCAACAAAATAGTTAACATTAAAAATAAAATTGTACGATCACCGTATTATAAAAAAATTTATTGTTCCAATCATGTATGTAAAAGAAATGAATTTAGGCGCGTTGAAGTAAAGTTAGCTGAAAGCCCGCAAGATGTCAAGTCGATCGGTACCGCGAGTGAACAAAAGAACGGGATTGGTCGCTTCGAAAGTAGTGCCAGACATGTGTTTCGTTTCCCGCCTCGTGGGTTGTTATTGTGTGGGGGCCCCGCCAGTCCGGTGAGTCGAGTGTAGAGAGCATAGGGCCTAGGCCAGAATCGAACCGCCGTTGGGTTGGCTCTTCGGTACGGTGGTGGCTCTGTCCGACTGGTGACCAACCGTGGTCCGTCCGTCATATTCCCGGTTTGAAAGCAAGGTTGCGACTAGTTGTTGCGACGCAGGAAAGTGTAGTGATCTGTGTACGGAGTTGCAAACGGGTCTGCCGGCCATGGAGAAGCGGATAGATCTCGAAAAACGGGGAAGAAACCCCGGCGAAGTAAGCCGAACCCCACTTATTTTATTGCATTGCTTTGCCCGACACGAGACGATACCGCGGGTTGTTGCGTGCTTGCTGTTCTATCGTGTGCAGGTCTGAGAGCGGGTGCAGAGAGAATCGTGTTCCCTCGCGCGACACCGACACCACGCACTCGCTCTGCGGCACGCCACTGGCTCCTCGAAGACGCACGAGAACTCGGATTTCTTGACGGCGACCGCGTGGCTCCGACGATTTATCGGGCAAGAAGACGTGTTCTCGATGCCGACACGAGATGCTACGACTGCCATGAGAGTAACAGGCATGGCGTGGTTTGCATGAACGGCCTGGTCTCCTTGATTTTTCATTACCTTATTCCGACATACCGCGTTTTTTTCTACTTTGTTTCTTTTTCGTTCGATCATTTTAGATGATATTTGCACTTCATTATCGCGTGCGTCTTTTTACTAAATCGGTGGAAAATTCGAAGAAACCGATACAGTTAGGGAGGATTCCCAGATCAGTTGTATTGTATTAACTGGAAAACTGAGAAACTCGCAAGCTGATTGGTTGACCGAATTCAACGAATAGTTGATCAACCAATCATTTATTAAATTTTTTCAAGTTTTTCCAGCGTACGAAATTCTACCAAATTGTGAAGTCTCCCTTATCGCGCCGTAGATATGATATTACATTCATAGAGAAAGCACTATACAACCCGCAGTTAAATGCATTTGAACTTGAATTATTTACTACTAAACGTATGGTATTGTATATATTGTGTCTTGCTGACTTGTGATTTAACACATGGTAGAATCAATGTCGTTAGCATAGAAAGTAAAACATGTTTAATCAATGGAGACATTGCTCTTACAATGGCCGATTTTTTGGTGAATGTGTTTACTTGTTCGGTTTAAGGAATTAGGAAAATAATATTTAGGATTTATTATTATTTTCATAATACAATTTGTTTTAATCTCAGTTTCTGAATTAATTGATCTTTAAAAACGTATTAAAGGAGATAATTTCCTAATAAACTACTTCTTGGAAGCTTTCCAAATCATGTCGCTTTCGAAATTTTCCTTCTGGAAAAAACATTCACTTTTGAAAATGTTAGGTCAAAAAAATTTTTTTATTGACCTTGTGGAAAGATATTTATTGTATTGAAGCAACGTTACAATGTCGTATAAACGTCCCAAAAAAGATTTGATTAATACCTTCATAAAATCGAAGCCTTGTTAAAAGTAAACGAATTAATTTTTGAAATATTAAACAGTAATTTTTCCGTAAAAGATTCATTTTTTAATTTTTTTAGAAACGTATAAAAATGTTCTAGAAAGTTTCTCTATTAATATATTGTCGCATTATTTGATCATTTCAATAGTCAATAAATGTTTTATGAAAAATTGTAGTAATTTGAAGCTAGATTGTTTCTTATTTAAAATGCCGTGTTATACGCAAGTCGTGTGATCAAATTATAGCGTGGCGTGGCTGTCTCTAGGAGCCCCTCTTTTTAAACTACCGTGTATCGTACGTGTGCTCCTATTAACAAGAGTAACCACATCTTAGCGAGTCGTCTAAAGGGCATTTTAGAAAACTAATCATTTAAAATGTGTTATCGTTCTCGGTATTTAATGGTTGATTTTCTATACAACGCAATACCGAAGTATAAAAAGGCTTTGACAAGATGGTGCCCCTTTCGAACGAGTTTCGAGAAACATATGCAGCCTCATATGCATTTACTGACAAGTCACGGTTACTTACATATAAAGTATTATGTCAGAACTTAACAGTCCTTTGACCTCGATTTTCGGTACTCCAAGAATGTTAAATCCATCAAGGTCACATGGAAACTCCAACTAGAAAGAATTTAAGAAGCAACAAAATTTCAAAATTGTACTCCGTTTTGCATTTCCATCTTGTACTATGCATACATATTAATTCATCCATTTTTTCGTGGAAAAAATATAATTTATTAACATATAACTGAAGAACTGACGATAATTAATGAGAAAATATAATATTAATTATAAAATATTGAGTAAAATTTTGAAAATATATCTATCACGGGAAATATGACTTGAAAAAGCAACAAATCATCAATCGTGTTTTGTGTTCCAAGTCACTTAGCGATAAGCATTCTTTTATGTCGTCTTAATATATCCATAAAAATATAATTGCGCTCGTAAGATTAACACAGTGATACATTTTTTCGGAAAAGTGTGTCGTATTTTGTACGGTCTATATATTTTCTTTTCAAGTGGTAAAAGTATATTATGTAAATCAATTATCAGCGGGAAGAGTTGTGCGTGCCATGAGGTGCTGCCATGAGATGCGCGTGCGAGTGGACGTCGCCATTGTTTTCAAGTGCGCGCGAGTGTTTCTATCGACAATTAAATTTCTTTATATCTCTTAGAATGGCATATGTTCTAAAGATATTTCTGGCTATTTCTGTGAATACGAAATATGCTGAATTAATCGTACAGTTTCTTGTATATCTAATCTACATTCGTGTCTTATGGCGTGTTACTGATCACTGTGCAGCCATCTTGGACGAGTCCACTCTGTCACCAATTGACACGCGTACGTTTCAGAATAATAAGAAAATCGAAATAATTATTTTTCACAGCTTTATATCACATAACTAATTTTATTTCATTGATTAAGTAACACTCGACACCATTTTCTGAACTCCTTCTCGATACATTAATGTTGAATATATATGCGTGGGCGTTTGCATCACGTTAACCACCGGCGTTGCGATGCAGTTCACTTAGCAGTGCTGTAACTACTACTTTATGAACCGTTGCATAAAAAGCAACAAAATTATATACATTGGCAAATTTCTTTAGCACGAAGCAAAATTTCATTTGTCTTGTTTCTAAAATACAAAATATTTTTATATAAAATTCC